TCAAGTCACAAGAGCGACTTGCTCACCATGTGTCCCATTGGTCAAGATGTAGATTCTCCGAGTTTGATTGTTCAATCACGTTCACGTGGTTGGGTGAGCACTCCGGCCTCAATGGGTAACTACCGCAGCCAGTTCGCTATAATGTGGACTGGGGTACCCAAATTTATCGCCATTATTGGGAACTCGTCTTGTTAGAAGCAGGCTGGGATCTGGATCTTCTTTTTGGTTGATGAGAGTCACTGGCAGTCTTTTGCTCTGGGGTATCAGTTCGACTTCGTCCCAATAGCCTCCGACGTCATGACGTCGCGATCGTAACTGGGTTGTCTCGGTTGCATGGCTAATCCTAATCACCAGGGCTGTCTCCTGTCAACCATAAGCTTCGTCCTATACAGTCGCCAACGCGCAGAGTCTCGGCAAGCGCGCTCTACGTGCTTCTTTCATCTAGGCGTAGTGGTTCTACATCTTTGTCTGGGTTCGACAACTCGCCGAGTTTCCGAAACTGTGCCGCGATTGCGAAAACACTGACACTCGACTTCTTTCCGAAGTTATTAACAAAAACTTCCCTCTACAACCATCTAGAGCCAAGTCGTGCTGCACAAGGCCTCATGTGATGCCGACGCTTGTGCTGACTGTTGGCCGTACAAGTCACAAGTCTGGTTCTCCGCCTTCTGGCGTGCCGACGTGATCCCGAAAGGGCCAATCGCTGGCCTGCAATTGGGTCACCCGAATGGTATGGCAACCTCTTCCAAGTTATAACGTTGTGTTTATAGACGGAAAACGAACGCCATCGCGCCGGATGTTCCGGGCTCGGAGTTATGTCTGGATAGTCCCTTTACAACCATTTGTCGGCTTTTATTTCGAGGCCTAGTTAGAGGTATATAATGCCTACGTGAGCAGCAAGTTCAGACAGCACTCACCCCTCGATCGTTGGTTGGTCTTGGAATTTGGCGACCATGCTAGGCCGTCTACTTCTCTCTCTTCTCCCCCTCGCAGGGGCTGGTGAGTACAACGTCGTAGATATTTTAGGCAATATACTGACCTTGTACCTGCAGTTCTCTCCCAGCAAAGCGCGGCATGGACAGACCCATCCACCGGCATCCCATTCCAATCTTACGTCGACCCCGTCCATGGCATCCGAATCAGTACAGCGTTCCCATCCTCTACAACACCAACAGAATTTGTTGGTGAGATTGTTGCACCTATCGCGGCCAAATGGGTTGGCTGGTCACTTGGTGGTGGCATGAACAACAATTTGCTCCTCGTTGCATGGCCAAACGGTAACTCGATTGTGTCTTCCACCCGCTATACTACGTGAGCTACTCACTTGCTTGCTATGAATACGGATTTTTGATACCTTTTCCTAGGGGCTACACCCAGCCTACCGCCTACACTGGGGGCGGAGTTACTCTGAGCACTATCACCGCTGGAACATCTGTCAACTCAACTCACTGGAAATGGCTCTTCAGGTGCCAGGGTTGCACGACCTGGACGTAAGTCTGACCGGTTTTTCTCTGAACGAGAAACTAATGGCACTTTAGGGGCGGGTCGATGACCACAAACGGAGTCCAAGTATTTGGATGGGGATACAGCACAGTGGCCGTAGATGCGCCTAGTAACGCACAATCCACTTTCCAGGAGCACACTGATTGTACGTGCCTTTTTATTATTAATATCCCTATTGCTCATCCTGAGGGTGACTCCAGTCGGAATGTGGGGCCACAATACCGGCGACGCGCACTACTCGAACTATGACGATTTCCTCGATGGCTCTGTAGGATCGACCCCTACTGGTACCGCAACAACCACCTCCAAGCCCACTACCACTAGCGCTGGTCCGACTGTGTCAGCTACCCCCTACGATTACATCGTTGTAGGTGCTGGAGCAGCTGGCCTTGTTGTGGCCGACCGCTTGTCGGAAGCAGGCAAGAAGGTGCTCTTGATCGAACGGTAAGACTTTGAAGCAAGATGTTGGAGTATATGCAAACGTTTTCTTGTCAGCGGTGGGCCTAGCACGGCTGAAACAGGAGGAACCGATACCCCACCTTGGCCCAGCAAGACATCTGTGTGTATAGTATTGCACTTGCTATTTCAGGACACTGATCTCTTGTGCGTAGCTCACTCGCTTTGATATCCCCGGTCTTTTCGAAGGCATGTTCGCAGGCTCAAACCCGTACTGGTGGTGTGATGGTAATTCGAATAATGTACTGCTTGTGACGAATTATCTAACACATAATGCGTAGACGTTTTGCCGTTCGCCGGATGCCTTGTTGGTGGAGGAACTGCCATTAACGGATTGTAAGTCCAAGTACTCTGCATTTCATCGATCTTGTTCTCAAAAAGCTACAGGCTTTACTGGTACCCTACCGACGCCGAGTTTGCCACCTCTAACGGCTGGCCAAGTGGATGGCAATCAGTCAATACATATCTTCCGAAAGTTACAGCCCGCTTACCTTCAACGGATACGCCTTCGACCGACGGGAAACGTTATCTTACCCAAGTCTACGACGTTGTCAAGACTTTGCTCACTAAACAGGGCTACCAGGAGACTACCATCAACAGCAACCCCAATGCCAAGGACCATGTTTTCGGCAACCCCGCATATTACGTGCGTATGATCCTTTCCGAGAGGTATTTACACTAACCCGGGGATTTTTTAGACTGTGGGCGGAAGGCGAAACGGTCCCATGGGCACTTACTTGAAGACGGCCAAGGCTCGAAGCAACTTCAAGCTCATGATGTACACCAAGGTGCTCTCTGTTGTCCGCAACGGCGCACAGATTACCGGAGTGCAAACAAACAACACTGCCAGTATGTATGCAGATTACTATGCCTCGGATTGACTGCTCACATCGCCTTGTTTCAGTTGGTGGGAATGGTATCATTCCTCTTACTTCCTCCAAAGGCCGCGTTATCTTGGCCGGCGGCGCTTTTGGCACTTCCAAGTTGCTCTTCCAGTCTGGTGAGCGGTTTACATATATCAATTCTCCAACAGACGTCAATTGTATGCCCAGGTATTGGACCCTCGGATATGCTTAAGATTGCCGCTGCCGATCCCACAGCCGCCAAGTACATGCCCCCTTCTTCCCAATACATTAATCTTCCCGTCGGCATGAACGTCAAGGACAACCCATCCGTCAACATGGTATTTACCCACCCAACTGTTGACGACTACGACAACTGGGCGCCGATTTGGTCAAACCCCCGCACTGCCGATGCGAACCAATACGTCTCGAAGCAGGCTGGTGTCTTTGCTGCATCATCTCCTCGCTCCAACTTCTGGAGCGTGTACGGTGCATCTGACGGAAAGACGCGCTACGTTCAAGGCACTGCGCACCCTGGTTCTTGCTGCTTCACCCCAACCTACCCTTATAATACCTCGGCTCAGTTCACTATCACTATGTACCTCTCCACAGGTCTTACATCAGTTGGGCGAATTGGTGAGTATAAATTCGCATGGTTGAATACATTTAACTGATGGTTTTATCAAGGTATCGACGCCTCAATGCGATCGCGCATTATCACCAGTCCCTGGCTCACTGACCCAGTCGACAAGACCGTTCTCGTAAAGGCTATCACCGATATGCTTTCGACATACAAGCAAGTCCCCAATCTTCAGTTGATTTCGCCCGACAACAAGACTTCGATTGACACTCACGTCACAAACATGGTCGATGGCTCCAACCACTGGACTGGCTCGACCAAGATTGGTACAAGCTCCTCGAACTCTGTCGTTGACACGAATACCAAAGTTTGGAATACCAGTAAGTGTGCAAGTGATAGTTGCGACTAGAACACTGATTGTCCGTTTCAGACAACTTGTTCGTCGTCGACGCTGGTATCTTCCCTGGCATGCCGACGGGCAACCCCCAGGGTGCTATCCTCACAGCGGCTGAAATGGCTGTTGCGAAGATCTTGGCGTTGGCTGGTGGTCCTTGAGCGCCAGATAAATTGGGTCCGTGTGTATTACTGTCTTTTTACTTCCAAAGGTTTTCAATGCAAGTTATTGTCCAACTACATGTCCGAGAGATGCAAGAGAATACGTCTGGAATCTAGCTTGACCCTAGAACCAAGTAGAATTTGCACTACACCAACCGTAAATTAGGAGCATATGTTTCACGGTAACCGGGCCAACTGGCTTCCTTGGCCCTTGGCCTATTTACTTTTATAGCTGATAAAACAAGCTACCAGCGAGAAGATACTTTAGAGCTAAACTCTCTCCGTACGTCGACGTCAACGACGGCGCATATAATCTGGATCTTGACTCTCATAGTTTTCAAGCAAATACAATAGGTTCATACATAATTACTGCGACTGGGCTTATTGATGCCAGGGCTGAATCCTCTTTTATTGTTTGATTGCGTTAAAGCGCAAGCATGCTAGCAAAACTTTGGTTCAACTATTATTGCATCGCTCATCTTTACCACGAAACGTTCGAACTGATAGAGTGTATGGTACGGCGGCAGTAGCTGGATATATTGAAGGGGGAACCATCGCGCGGCTAGAAATGTTTCGCAGCCAACTAGCTTCCGGCTCTTCCGGCTCTTCAGCTCCCGCTTAAAAAACTACTTGAGAAAACCCACCGCGGGGCTCGAACCCGCAGCCTCCAGATAACACGTAAGAACGTAGAAGTCTGGCGCGCCACCATTGCGCCAGGCGGGCTTAACCCATTTTATGACACAAAACATCATCATTGGTGCGTCAATTTTACCCCACTTCTAGAAACGTTCACAAGCTCAATCTCAGACAAGGATTCTTTGTTTCTAGTTATGATAAAAATGGAAGATTTGCTACACGAGACAAACAGCGAACTGACAGAAACCGGTATTACAGAGCACTAAAACCAAAAAAGCGATAAGAACGTCCACACAATAATAAAAGACGAGCTGCGCTAGTCGTCTTCTTCGGATGAAGAATCATCGTCATCAGAACCTGGAATAATGTTAGTAGGATTCAAATATCTGGGTAGTGAGATCTACTCACTACTATCCTCTTGAGGCACCATTTGCGTTAATGCCTCGTTGAATGCCGCCTCGTCAAATCCGCCATCCTCATCCTCATCTTCGTCCTCGTCCTCGTCCTCTTCGTCCTCCTCACCAGAGCTTTCTCCAAGCTGTCTCGCCATCTCGGCTGTAACAAAATC